GGACTTAAATTTGCATTTCAAACGGTCTGGCTGGTAGAATGTAAATGAAGGACCGTGTCCAAAAACTAAAGCCCGCTTTCGCTCCCATTTCTGCGTCGATTTTTTAGAGCAAAATTCGTTGAAGGAGTTAAAGCGTGGAGTAGGTTCATGCGCCGCATATTCTTGCTGAACTGAATTAAGTTACTTAAATTAAGTTTGTTGAAGGCGCTGTTAACTTCTTTTACGTTATGCGGCGCTTGCCGACGCAGTTTGGTGGACCTCCGTATCTCAGCCAGCCCGTGCAGTGGTCGGAGAGGGGGTGCCGGGGTGAGGGATTGTGTCACTCGCTGCTGCCCTGACGTCTGACTTATGGCTGACACTGGAACGGGGCTGCGGTGGGACCGGTAGCACACGTGGATGGGGATAGCAGGCATTATTAGAGGTCTTACATATTACATATCTATGATATCAGGGACGCATCTTCGCAATTATCGATACCTTTAACTGGCAACGGGATCTTGCCGTGATCTTCTTGCAGATATTTTAGAGATACGCCCGTGCTGACCGGTAAGCCCTTGAAGCAGAGTAGGTGTTTTGCTGACGGTGTTGCAGTGGTCAGCTACCTCTAGAGCACGGCAACACTCGGTCCGTCGACGCCAGGAGCTCTGTCAGGCCGTCTATTGTTCCTCAGTACCGCTGTTAATCTCCGCACTGTACCTGGTCCACTATATTGCCGGTAACCGAGTGTCCCGGACTGCCGGCTGTCACCGCGACCGCAAACTGTTCATTTGCCGTCGCGTTTATGCTAATTAGCTTCACACTGCTAAAGTGGAGCGAGCGAATTTAATGAGACCGCCTTATTACGGGCCTGGTGGCGGTGACGGTGACCGAACTGCCGCACGGACGTCAAGAGACGGCGACCGAACTGCCGCACGGAAGTCAAGAGGCCGGCCTGCTGGAAACGCAGGTCTGTCAGAAACCAGCTGTGACACCGCAGTGCTGTCATAGACACCGCAGGGCAATCCGAGACTAACTGTGACACCACAGGGCTGTCAGATACTAACTGTGACACCGCAGGGCTGTCAGAGACTAACTATGACACCACAGGGTTGTCAGATACTAACTGTGACACCGCAGGTCTGTCAGAGATGTGACACCGCAGCACTGTCAGAGATCGGTGTTAATTATGGCCACAATATTCACATAGACTAGCCGTGAGTAGAACCACGAGTCAGTCAGCGACTTTCTGTGATACCAAAGCACTACCTACCAAGAACCAGTTTGATAAAAACTCAGACGAAATAAAACTGTCAGAAACTGCTTGAAGTAGCACTGGACTTTCATTGTCACCTTATTACTCTAAAAAAGTTTTTTTTTTTTTTGAATTTTGCATCCCCGCTAGCACAAGGCTATAGCAGGGGAAGGGAAGTTACTTGCTGGCAATTAGCCAGATCTTTTGTTTTACGTTAAGTTAATTGCCGGCTATTTTATTCCGGCCCAAGAGGCAAAGCAAAGACAAACTTTACGTTAGACCGGCTCATGTGGCGTCCGGTGGGTTGCAAAACAAAGGGAAGGCCGAAAAGGTGCCAGATAGGCGAGACCGATAAATTTGGTTACTTACATAGAGATTGCTGTTGAGACTTGCTGCTGTTTTGTGTGCTGTTGTTTGGTGTGTGTGTTGTTGTTGTGGGGTGAACTTTTACCAGGAAAAGTCCTAACTAGAAAAAACCTGGTGCCTAACCAAGAGGGCAAAAACCTGTGCTTTCAGCCAAAGTACACAGTAAAAAGCCCTTTCTTTAATTACGTTATATTACGTTACGTTATATCGCTAATGTGTATGTGTGTTTGTGGAGCTATCACCTTCATCCACTCCCGGGGGCCATGGATGCAAGCCACCTAGGCCGCGCCCGGGGTGTCCGGCCAGATAGCTTCTGTGTCTCGAGTGGGCCTCAACCTTTAAGAGGGATCCCTGTCGAGAACAGCGAGCTTACACACATATATATATGTGTGTAAGCTTGGAAAAGGCGACCCGTATGTAGGCAAAGGAGAACGAAAGCGAATGGAGGCAAAAACGAAGCGGATGGAAACGACGATGGAAGATCAAAGGACATCTATATACTGTGTGCAAGGTTGCGATCATATGCTATTGATGAGATTCGAATCACTGAGGAAGGTAAAGAGAAGTTCAATTAGATCTGGATGATCATCACCCAGGAGAGTTGGAAGGTCCAGGCTGAGGTTGTGTGTGTTTGTGTAGTGAATGATGTGTTGACGGTGTTGGTCGTAGTGTGGGCAGTTGAGAAGGAGGTGGGCAATGTTGAGTCGGGTGTGTGCGGCGCAGTGTGGACAGCTCGGGGGTGGCTCATTTTTTATGATAAAATCATGTGTTATCTTTGTGTGTCCTAGCCTCAATCTGGCTAGAACTATTTCCTTGAGTCGATTATCTTGATTAGAGGATGTGAAGTTACCAATTTGCGGGTGGATAAGTGGCTCTGGAACTGCAGTGTTGTCGGTTACTTGTGACACCACAGGGTCATCCAAGACCGGGTATGCCACTACGCAGGACCGCTGGAGACCGGCTAGCCGTGCCTCGGACCAGCTCTCTAACCGCGCCGGCACTGCGGAAGCCACCTCCTCCTCCCACTACATACTGCACTGCATTGGTGGCGCCGAACACACCGCGTCCAAAACAACCGCCCCACCAATGAATAGATAAGCCCGTTAAACAAGTCCGCCGAAGCCCGTGTCGCCGGGCTGCGCGCTCCTCCCACTCTCCCTCCCTCTCCACCGCTCTATCTCGACTTTATCGTCGCCGGAAGCCGAACGACGCCGCTCGGCGCCAGAGAGCCGCCGCCGCCGACCGCTCTGTGCGAAAATATGAAAAACTGGCCGCCGGCGTGGTGGGCTGCGCTTCCCCGCCGCGTCAGTCCATCACAGAGCCGGCCTATTCGGCCGACTGATGTCGAAATGCCATTTAGACGCAGCGTCTGTCGCCGCCGGCGGTGGCTGTGGTCAGAGGGGGAGGGAGGTCACATTTGACGCCGCCGCTACCTCTGCTCTGTCGGCGCCGGCCGGCCGGGCTGGGTCTATAATGTGCGCGGCGGCCGGCCTGAAACCCTCCCCGTCGGCACATTGTCGGCGGCGCTGTTAATTAGGTTTGCATCGTCTGAAGAGCGGGCCGAGACGGCCGGCGGTTCTGTCAGCCGGCCGACCACGACCGGCACTGGCGCCCCCTGTCCCGACCCCTCAGCCCCCCCCCCCCCCCCGACTCCTCGCTCCCAGCCCCGGGTCCCCGCCCAGCCAGGCAGAGTTCGCAGTCGAATGGTTGGGTCAGCAGAGCATCGAGTAAAATTAAATTAATTATTGATCAACATTCGAATGGGGTAGAATTTAGATAAAGTTTGTTTGAAACTGAGGGGTAAAAACAATTTTGGCCACACTAAGGGAACAGTAAATTTTAAACGCACTCTTGGACGTGCTGGCCCTCACTTCATCGATATTAATTGATGCAAAGGATATTGAAATATTGAAATGGATTCAGATGGAACTGATTGGATCAATGCGGAGTGGTCGTCCTCGTGAAAATGTGTTATGTAACAGTACTAACTAAAAAAGGACCTAATTTCCACTCGGGTTACGTACGATGGTTCAACGAGGCAATTGAACGAAAGCCTACTCGTATGTCAGTGTCCATTAGCCTACTGTTGTCGCTGTTGGTTCGGATGACAGTCCAGTTATAACCGCGCCGACGGTCAGGGCTGTCCGTCAGATGAGGTTCTGGTCAACTCAGCTCTGCTGGGGTGACAAGCCTTGCGAGTTAGGATTGCGGCGTGGCCCGTGCGCCGTATACGGTCTGGTGTTGTGATGGCTACAGTAGTGCCGCTGTTGCCATCACCGCCGGCTGTGACCACTTTACCGCCATAGGAGGCCATTGCCGGAGGTCGTCTGAGGCCGCAGAGTGCGCACCATCGCCGCCAACGACCTGTCATGCCTCAAGCTTTCGTCCTCTCTCCCAGGCTTTCCTTTTACAAAAGCACGTTAGCGAGTTTTATAAAAGTAAAGAAAACCGCGCGGCCAGTCAGCGACTGTGTAGCAAAGTATCGAATTGAAAGGGGAGCGGAAACGCTGAAGAAGCTGTAAAGCGTCTTTGGAGGTCCGGCGAACAAACTGGTCTGGGATTGATGTTCGGGCGCGCCGCTGGCCCGTCGGCTCCGGCGGCCACAACTTGCGTCGTTACGGTCGGCGTCCGATGGAGATGGATGGGCGTTGTTGGAGCCTTCGCTCACTGCACTGCCTGTTGGCTGCTGTCCATCCGGCGGCCGAGGCCGTCGTTCCGCCTGCTACGTGCGCCGGACGGCCGATGGAGTCGCAGCGCTCCCTGGGCTGTAACTCTGAGATGTATCGCCGTCTTTCAGCGGCGTCTCGGACTGGGCCAAGTCGCAAATTCGCATAACTTTGATTTGGCAAACACGCTGCTAGTCGTATCCGGTTTTATCGTGCTGTTGTGCTAGGCTCGTAAAATGATAATGTTTCCGTATCAATACTGAGTGTGATAAGGTTTTTATTACTTCCCATCCGTATGATCGTTCATGATCAATGACCTGTGGTGATCTGACAACACTGAACCGTGTTATAACTTCTACCGGAACACGGTGCTCGGCCCTTAGTTCTTACACAATACATGTTCTATTCATCCCATAACGACCCTGCCTGTGCCCTGTACTGACCTGATCGGGCTGACCGGATATAATCATGACAGCGACTTGGAAACCATCCAGCCATATGTAGTTTTTCAACATTATTGCGTCATCTGCTGAAGTCATTGCCTGAGCCGTTCTTGTCGGATGTGGTGTTTTCCCATCTAGCTCCGCCTTGTCAGCCAAATTAACTGGCCGGCTAGTCAGGGATATTGTGTTTCTGTGTTGCTGTGGAGGACTGTGAGCTGTCAGTGTCACCTGCGTCCGTCTGTACCTGTCAGGTGGTTCTGACACATCGTCTAACTCACCTCCTCCTTTTTACAGACAGGAAAGCTGCACTTTGGCTACATCTACGGCATCGGCCTGATGGGCTGCGTGGCCATGTACTTCCTGCTGAACCTGATGTCGATGCAGGGCGTCAGCATGGGCGTGGTGGTGTCGGTGCTGGGCTACTGTCTGCTGCCGATGGTGGTCCTCTCCGGCGTCTCCATCGTCCTCTCCCTGCAGTGAGTGGCTGTCGACAGCAGCGGCAGGGGGAGGGTACAGAGCTAGACCCGCTGGGACCGGCTGCTGCATACAATGGGACTAGTTATAGACAGCGCCAGGGAGTGTGCAGGGACAGGGTATGGGACGGCCTGCGGACACCGGGGACCAGCTATTGACGGCAGCTGTGAGGCCTTGTGGCCGTCCTGTTACACCGGGGACCAGTATCCCCGCAGATCTCGGGGACCAGTTATAGACAGCGGGAGTGTATTGGAGGGGAAGGAGGTAGTGACCGACCCACTGGGCCCGCCTACAGACCAGTGGGGACCAGTTATAGACAGCGGGAGTGTAGTGGAGTGGAGGGAGGTAGTGACCGACCCACTGGGTCCGCCTACAGACACTGGGGACCAGTTATAGAGAGCGGCGTCTGGGGTGTGCTCCGAATGACCGCCACATAATGATGGGATTTGGGGAAGGCCGGCGGAACGATGGCGCGGTATGGAATGAGGGGAGAGAGAGAGAGAGAGAGAGAGAGAGAGAGAGAGAGAGAGAGAGAGAGAGAGAGAGAGAGAGAGAGAGAGAGAGAGAGAGAGAGAGAGAGAGGTCAGAGGTATTCGATACACATGTTTTAAACAGTGCGTTTTCTTGTCTCTCTCCCTCCCTCTCCTCTCCCCTCCCCTCTCTCTCTCTCTCTCTCTCTCTTTCTCTCTCTCTCTCTCTCTCTCTCTCTCTCTCTCTCTCTCTCGCTCTCTATCTATCTCTCTCTTCCTCTCCCTATCTCACACGCGCCCGCGCATAGATAGCCAATTAAACTTCGAAATTTGGCAATGCATCCGTTGCAAAGTTTTGCCCACGACTCAAAAGGTCAGACCAGATAAGGAACACCTGTAAGACATCACCTTGAAAGTTTGAGGCTGTCCTATGGATAGTTTTCGCACTTCCTGCCCACCTCTACCCATGCTCTTCCCACGCTCTGCCGGTCGGCTAAGCCCATACGCTCGTTAGGTGGGGGCCGAAGCGGCACATAATCTCTGTTGCACATTCGTTCTGATCAGTAGCCAGCTGGGACGCTCTATCCGGGCTACTACCGCGCAGAAAGCTGGCGGTCGCCCCAGCTCGCCCCAGCTCGGTCGGCAGTGGTGGGGTTACGTAAAATACACGGCCAGCTACGCACTATCCTGTAGTTTATGTGTGGAGAAGGGATGAGGGATGCTGAATATGTGTATCTGTTTCATGTTTGCTGCTCATTTTATTAGTGCTCTGCCCAATGAAAACTCGTGCAGCATCCAGCTGAGTGTATTTAAGTTGCCAAGTCTTTGCTAGGTTTTACACATACTACTGAAGGCGTTGATTGAAAATGACCTTGAACGGCTTCTGCCACCGTTTCCCCCAAAGTAAACCAACTATGCGCTGGTAATCAGCGATCGATGGCTTTATACTGATGCAGTCAACACTGGTGTGAACTAATGCATCTGGGATCAAAAGCTATCGTTATTTACTCAAATTTTGAGGAACATGCTGCATATGAGTTTATTATTTATGTATTTATGTGTTTGGCTCTCGGTCCCCTGTTCTATTTCAGTGATTGTCCAGTTGCCGAGCTCTGGCTCTATGACTGTCGTTCCCGATGCCCTGGTCGTTATGATTGCCGTCCCCTGTTATGTTCCATGACCATTCAGTCGTCATGCCCGTGTAACTGTCAGCGTCGCACCCCGTGCCCCAGCTACTGTCGTCCACTGCCCTGGCCCTCATGACCTCGGCGTCAGCCAGAGTAGCCCGCCGTGCCGAGTAGCTCCTGCCGACGCCGGCCGGCCATGGCCGAATATCCGGCGGTGCGTGCTGACCTCCTCAAGGGCCGCTTATTAGATGGGGTGTGTTATCGATGGGGTGGCCGCCGGCGCGGCGCCTTTGTGCTACGCTGATCCACCGGACACATGCGAAAATATAGCCGCCGCCGCGCGGGCTGTGAGCCGCCGGAGAAGTAGAGCTAGCTGCAGGATGGTCCACCACGACTCTGTTCTTAGCTTTTGTAACTGGTCGGGAACGCACTTAACTCAATAAATGTGCCTCATTGGTGGAGCCATATGAACATCCCAGGGGAGCAACACTAATACCCTGATTGTCAAATACTGATTGCCGTTTGACCCTGATCGGGCCAAACGGCAATCAGTTGTTGCGGGCTCACTGCAGACTCCTGACTACTGAAAAATATCGGCCGTGTAGTACAGTTTTATATCCCAGTTGTAGTCTTCTATCCTATGTAGTTTTCTATCCCATACCTGTTCCATTCTACGGATCCCCGTCCCGGCTCCTGCCGTCAGGTGTCTGCTCTAATCGCCTGTCCTCTGACAGCGGCACCCGGTGGTGTTTTCCACCGTCCGCCGGCCGTGAGATGAGGCCGCTCCCCACGAGAGAGCTGGCGTCGCAGCGGCCCCATTCAGTCGGCAGCCGGTTAATTCGCCGGCGCCGACAGCGCTAATGTAAAAAGAGATGAAGTCGGCGGCGTATGAGGGAGAGAGACCGTCTGTGGTTGGCGTCCGAATAGTGGCACCGATCTCGGCAGTCTGGGGTGTGATACCGGGGTGTGATGCCGCCTCTGCCCGCTCCACAACACAACGCAGTCGCCCGGGGTTCTCGTCTGTATGTTGTGGAACTAATAGGACCGTACTGCTTCCTTATGGGCTCTCTCGTCAAGCGCTCAGCTGTGCCTGTTTATACCTTACCCCGTGAACCAATTGTTTTGCTCGGTAAACTTTTTGCGGCGTGCGGAACTAGACCACGAGTAGTCTGTTTACTGGTAGCTCGCCGGTTGACGACCTCATCTAACTTTTTGTTCCCCGGGAGCTGGGCTGTGTTCCAGGTAACTCCCCTGTCCCCGGTAGCTGCTCCGCCTTTCCCGGATTACTCTCCCGTCTACGTGTAACTCCCGTCCCCATGTGACTACACTAGTTAACCGGGCCCTCCCTCCGACAGGGGCGCGCTGGGGATGGCGCTGGCCGGCCTAACCATCCTCTGGTGCAGTCTGTCGGCCTCCAAGCTGTTCGTCACAGCGCTGGTGATGGACCACCAGCAGCCCCTGGTCGGCTACCCGTGCGCCCTGCTCTACGGCGTGTTCGCCCTGCTGACCGTCTTCTGAGCGTCCAACAACGTCTCCGTCATCTTCAGTGATGTAGGCGCTGCTGGGCTGTCCTCGGCTTAGCGGTGTGGGCAGTGGTGGACCCCGCTATGACGGTCACACCGTGAAAGCTCTGTGTGAGCAGCTGTGGCCGCTCTGCAGGTGATCACTGATCAGTCACGCGGTATGGTTTGAAGGTACTGAACTTCACGAGAAGGGTGGCTAGGTGCAGTATGTGTGTCTGAATAGCTGGAACGAGACCAATGGCGCGACAATCAGCCGTTGTATTTTTAGGCGCGAATGGTATATGATTCGTCTTTTTCTACGGTTCGCTCCCTATTCCTCTGTAAAATTATTCCTGTTTCTTTGCCCTCAACTCTCTTCTTATTTTGGTACCAATATACTGCCTCATTATTTCTCTTTTCTGATTTTAGTTCATTTCCTTTTCTCGTAGAAACTAAATGGTAAAAGATCATTGAAGTCACCTTCCCGTCATTTTAGGCTAAATATGCATGTATGCTAGGTATGGGCTTATTTATGTGTTTGGAAGTTAGCTATGTGTATGTGAGGATATTGGCCTACCAGTGGACTTTATTACATTATGTAATAAAGTCCACCCCCAATGGCTACTAATGTGACGCGGTAATTGGTTACGCGGCAATGTTTTTTTTTCAGTTAGCCAATGTTAGTAGACCACTCGATAGATGGAGGGTCCGCGAAACTATCTGGTGTGGAACATGATGAAAATAAAGGTGAATTTACTATGACTGGTGTGAATTGGCCTGGTTTGATCTTTGGCTTTCAACGTCGCATCAAAGATGAAGTTTGTACATGAATTCTGGCAACATGGAAGTTCGAGCAGTCCACTCACAACAGCAGTCACATGGGCTCATTTTCACCACATAAAAGGCTTCCATTATGATAAACGAGATAGAGTGACTGTTCATTGCTAAACTTCCACAGAACTACTGTCCGTACTGATGTAACGTTCTGCGCCATTACCGATGATGATGGTACGACGAGCAAAGTACCAAAAGTACTGCAGAGACGATGACCCGTGTGGGCGGCCGGGTACGACTAAGATCCGGGGTCAGCTCACCTCAGTTACGGCTGGTGATGTGTCTTCAATTGGATTGGTGAATTTAGCGGCTGAACTATCTCTAGCAATATCATTTTCTAAAGGAGCGTGAGATTCACTCGATCGAAATCGCATTGAGTGTTGCTGTTTCGACTCTCGTTAATCGTAGTGTCGAACTTGCTGCTCGTACCAGGCACGTAGCTAGGATTTGGCCAAGGGAGGGGCGGAGGAATCCCGGGGGCCTCCTTTCTACAGAGGGCCTCCTCCCTAAAGGGGCCTCCTTTCTACAGAGGGTCTCATGCCTACATAATTACATATACAACATAATGCAGACTTTTGTTCAGCTTTCATATGGCCGGCGCACTGGTATGTTTCTTTACTCTTACCGCTGCAGCGGTAAGAAACATACGCATATCACAAGTCTCCGAGTGGCATGGTAACTGGAAAAAAAAACTCGGGCGCCGGCGGCGGCGGCGATGGCTGCCGGACCGCAGCAGGAGGGGGAGGATCTGCGAGGAATGGGTGGATACTGGATGACGGTCAGAGTAACACTTGGTGTATTATCATATATCGTTCAAGCGCTTAACCGTATTCCGGGCGGGCTCTGAAAAACTCTGAATCGGGCGGGGGCCTTTTTGGCCCCCGTCAGAACTCGAAAAGCACGAATCGTAGCGACAAACGGCAACGGCGTTTGATAGTTCGTTGAACGACTTACAACTTGTGTAAACAACTTTTTTGGGTCAGGTCAATATTGAGGTCGCCAGAGGTCATAACAAATAACATGGTTTATAACGTCCTACATAGATAGGTCAACTTCAAAATCTGACCTAGGAAGGTCACGCTGCAGGTATGTACCAATCGGCGCGTTATGACCAGGCGAACGGTTTGGTACACTAACAACTATTTAGCCCCATCATGTCGTGATTTATTAGCTAAAAACTGTTGATGACCTCACCTCAGATGATCCTTCCCGGTGCCCCTGTCAGCAAATGCCACCTGGGTGCTTACAGATCAGATAATCTGACGTAATTCAGAAAGAATTGGGTGGTTTTGACTCGTTTTCTCGAAGCAGGACACAGTTCATTATATTTTCCAATAGGCTTGTCACGATTCTGACCTGACTGACGTCTGCAAGATTGAAACTATACGGTTATCATTTTTTTTCTGTGTGAATGATGCCACGTTTACTTGCTGTAAGTAAAACATGGTTTCGTTAGTAAATTTTCCTAGGTCCAGGTGGTTTGCTTCATTTACGCCGTAGATGAAACAAACAATCGATGGATAGGTATATATTAATTTCCCGGTCAAATAAATTATTATGAGTTGTGTAACACTGCGAAGCATGGCTATGAGAATATCACCACGGTCTGATAAATGGTTTGGGTAATTGCATCCATCTTAAAAATACCAACACAGCCACAGGTACCTAATCCTATATATTTCAGAAATGGGTTGCTGTGTTCATGCATTAACCCGCGCCCTGCCGAGGGGGGAGGGGGTGTTAAACACCCCCTGCAGTTTACCGTGAATATCTCAAAAACGGGCGCGCGGCACACTTTATCCTACATCATTTCTACATATGTTGTGAAAATTTCAGACCCTGGTCACTTAAGGTCAGGTCACCAGGTCAGGTCAGATGACCTCACTACATAAAAAGTTTCAATGTCTGCCAAAGCTACACGGAGTGACCAAACGCTTTGAAACTTTCAGAGATGCAAATGCACAAGAGCGACAAAATGCAAGCAATGTATGTCTTGGAATTTTGATATCGATGACATAAGGTCAGGTCAATTTTGCGACCTTAAATTGAAAGTCGCCTTTTTAGACGGAACGGAAGTCATTATAAACACTCTAAAACACTGAATTACTAGTATCTTTGACACACTGAACATGAAAATGGCACCCGTGACCCCTTTTTATAACCTTGAGGTCATCTCAGGTCACCAATGGTATCTGACTTTTTCGCGAATAACTTTTGATAGAGGCATGCTAGAGCGATGAATACACCTTAGTTGTGTTTGGCTCGACGATACGGATGGACTGATATGGAACTTAGCCCTTATCGGTCAGGTCATGACCTTGACCTGAGGCCAAATTTTCAAGTTGACCTTTCAAGGTCAATTGATAGTTCATTCCACACGTCTTGAAGAGCGGAACACGATGCTGGTAAAGGAAAGTTCGTGCAAATTTTGAGACGAAAGTTATTGCCGAAAACTGGTTTCCGAAAATATCGGCTATTTTGGCAGTTTTTGCGGCCACTGCAGGTAAAACCGTTGACGGCAAAACCGTTGACGGCACCCGGCATGATTTCTCTGAGCGCATTTATACAAATAATTTGTCTATGTACATAGGATAGGGCCTTCTGTTTACAGAGGACCTCCTCCCCTGTCCCTTCCTACAGTGGGCGGCGACGCGGTTGGGAGTCTATTCTGTACAGTTTCCTGAGTTCTCAGTTCTAGAACTCTATAGAGAGTAGCAGGGAACAGAAGCCAGAAGGTAATTTGCTTACAGTGGGCCTCCACTCTATGTACTTAATATACGACGCTGTCTTTGACTACCGGGGGCCTCCTGCCCACAGAGGGCCTCTTATCCACAGAGGGCTTCCTCTCTACAGATTGCCTCTTATCTACAGAGGGCCTCCTCTCTGCTGAGGATGTCTTTCTCACCAGAGGGCCTCCTTTACAGAGGGCATCCTCTCTACAGAGGGCCTCCTCTCTACAGAGGGCCTCCTCTCTAGTCTCTACAGGGACCTCCTCTCTACAGAGGGCTTCCTATCTATGTAGGGCCTCCTCTCTTCAGAGTCTCGTCTCTACACAGGACCTCATCTCTGCAAAGGGCCTCCTCTCTTCAGAGGGCCTTCACTCTACAGAGGGCCTCCTACCTACAGAGGACCTCCTTTCTACTGAGGGAGTCCTCCTCTACAGAGGGCCTCCTCTCTTCAGACGATCTCCTCTCTACAGAGGGCCTCCTCTCTTCAAAGGGCCTTCTGATTTCAGACGGTTTCCTCTTTACAGAGGGCCTGCTCTCTACAGAGGGCTTCCTTTTTACAGAGGGCCTCGTTTTTACAGAGGGCCTCTTTTTACAGAGGGCCTCTTTTTTACAGAGGGCCTCCTTTTTGCAGAGGGCCTCCTCTCTACAGGGGGTCTCCTCTCTAAGGGGGCCTCCTCTCTACACAGGGCCTCCTACCCACAGAGGGCCTCCTCTCTACTGAGGAGTCAGAGGGGCCCTAGCGGTCGGACACAGACACTAGTGGTTATTCACACGAGATGAGAAGGGCCCTAGCTGTCACTTGTCAGGCTGGTCAGAGGGCCCTGATTGTTCTGACGTCCTTTTTTATATTCCCGCGTGAATTTCGTCCGCCTCCGACGTGATTTTGGCCGTTGGATTCAGGCCGAAAGGATTCAGGCCAACGTGGGCCTTCGGTCCACGTTGGCCTGAATCCTTTCGGGGGGGCCTCCTGAAAACCCCAAGGGAGGGGCGGGCGCCCCCTCCGCCCCCCCCCCCCTTGGCTACGTCCCTGGCTCGTACCTTGCACCACGATACAAGGAAGACTCTAACTAAATGTCACTTTAGTCACGGAAGTGTCCTGTTTATAAAGAAAGACCGCGTGAAACGGAGGGACTTCCGGCGTGCGTGCATCAACTCTGTCCGGCTCCTGATGGACATTGCTGCACTGGTGTCCCGCGCGTGCACTGCACTGGTGTCCGTGCACTGGTGTCCGTGTGTAACAATACCGTTTGGAAACACGTGACCGTCAACGAAAAAAAAAACATATTGACTTCTCCAAGAAGTAAGAAGGAAGCTGAGCATAATAAGAAACAATAAATCCCCCGAAGTGTTAAATAAAGAGATAATCGAAGCCGATTTAGCTCAACCTGCAGCGTTTGAGCTCCCGTGTTCCGTGTCCCAGCTGCAGTGTTCCGTGCCTCCCATCCATCGGAGCAGACTGAGCAGCCATCGGTGCCTAGCTCTGAGCATTGTCTAATGTCTTCTCTGTGACAGCTCCCGTGTTCCGAACTGTCCGTCCATCGGAGCATACTGAGTACGACTAACTCTCAGTGCTCTGCACTAGCACTCGCCTCCTTGATAACTCCCCTGTCCCGTGCTCTCCGTCCATCAGAGCACCATGTGAGTACTGACTAGCTCCCGGTGTTCTGTGCTAGCGCCCGCCTCTGTAACAGTGCCCTCTGTTCCGTGCTGCCCGTCCATCGAACCCTCGGAGCTGATTGGCCGCTCAGACTCATTGGTATCGCCGGTCACCGACCTCTCTGGGGGGCGTGATGATGACGTCAGCAGCCCCCTGGGTTTATGAGAGAGATCCGAGCAACAGTCGTCATCACAGCAAAATGTACCAATCAGCGGGGCTTGAGATAGGCCGCAGGATATCTCATGATACGCATCGGCCGTCGTGGAATGAAATATATCGTCACGTCATCAGTTTAACTGCTTCACTCACTGAAATACAGGATACCTACTCGTCGAGAATGATAAGCATTTCTCTGGGAACAAATCTACTAACCCTGTTGAAGAATGTCTCTAGCTGCAGGCCTACCGAGCTGTCATGCAGCTGGCTTTCGCCGTCTCTACTCCGCCATGCAAAAGGTCGGGGTCGCTGCCCTTGAGGACGTGAACATGACTCCCTCCTGACGGCGGGAACCACCAGAAATGAGGCGCCGACTGTGTTGACTTTTCATCT